CCCGCCCGACATGAAGGCTCCCCAGGCAGCTACAGTAACCAGCACTGTGGTACTGGCCGATCGGCACGGAGATCGACGGAACAGAACAGAGAACCAGAGACAGACCCACAACAGCACGTGTGGCTGGCGTCCGATGGAGGTGAAAAGCAACTCAGCAGGTGAGAGAGACCTTCAACACGTGGTGCTGGGACAACCGGACACCCACGGGCAAGAAAACGAGCTTCGACCTAAACCTCGCACAAAAAGGAACTCCAAATGGATCACGAACGTAGGTGTGAAAAACAGGAAACTATAAAGGTTTTAGAAAAGAAACAGGCAAAAATCCTCGGGACCCAGGGCTAGGCACAGAGTTCCTAGTCGTAACGGCAAAGGCACGATCCTTGAAGGGAAATCTCAAGAAATCGGAATTCATCAAAATTAAAAACTTTTGCTCTGCAAAATACCCTGTTAGAGTATCACAAATCACATTATCTGACAAAGTCATAATATCTAGAATATATCAGCTCTCAAAACTCAATAGCAAAAAGAATCTCAAGTAATCCAACTAGAAAATGGGTTACTTTACTGAAGAAGATACACAAACGGCAAATAAGTACATGGGAAGATGTTCACATAGCCATGAGAAATGCAGACTTAAACCACACTAGGATGTCAGAATGGCTAAAATAAAAATAAATGAAATGCTGGTGAGGACGCTGGGAAACGGGGTCACTCAGACACCGCCGGTGGGAGTGGTGCCCACACTCTGGAATACGGAGCTCCTTTTAAAACTAAAGTGGATTTACTGTATATTACCAGCAATTGAGCTCTTCAGTGTCTACACCAAAGAAATGCACACTGTGCTTGTACAAAAGCCTGTACACCAATGTTCATGGCACTTTCACGAGTCATAGACCAAAACTGGAAAGTCCCTACATGTCCTCCAGCTTGTGAGTGATCAGACATCCACACCGTGGAATTCTACTCAGCAACGGAAAGGAAGGAACTGTTGACATGACTTAGATGAATCCCGAGGGAATTAGGCTGAGTGACAAAAGCCAATCCCAAAAGGTTACAGATGATATGACTCTATTTACATAATATTATTATTGAAATGACAAAATCGTAGAGATGGACAACAGATTGTGGGTATGGGGG